GTATGATCGAAGAAATTCGACTTCCAAAGTCTTTTCAGGGAGCTTTTCATCCGCTTCGCTTTGATCTTCTCTTTCGGTTAGACACCTGTTTTGGCATTTTACCCTGATTTACTGATCTCATTTCGCGGCATAATCGCGCCTCTTTGCTTGATGCATGCTTCCTCGAAGCAGATTGGAAGAAAATCCCTTTATACAATTTGAAAGTTACTAAGAGCTGAACGAACCTTCAGATTATTCCTTCGTGTATCGAGCTCAGTTAAGATGAAACCCAACGGTCACATGGCATGTTCTCGGTGATGAATCGGCTAGTTGAACAATAAAACATCATCGCTTGTTTGGTTTCAGTTTAATTGCCTCCCAGCCATAAATCAACAGGCTGAAAATTGGTCACTCCTATTTTCTTCTGCTATTTCTGTTGTGGTTTCGTTTTCGTTTCAGTATCTCTTCTTTCTTTTGTCCTTTCTACCGTTTCTTCTTTTGCTTTTTCTTTTCTTTCATTATTTTTGATTACCATCCAAGTTTTTTCCTTATCCTTCTCCATCTGTTTCTCGTACATTCTTTTTTTCTTTTGTTTTCTGTTTCTTTATTCCTTTTGTCGTTTTCCTCAATCTTGGCATCTTCCTTTTCCTGTTCTTCTTCCTCATTCTTCTTTTGTTTTCCGTTCGTCATTTTTTTTAATTTCTGCTTATCCTTCTATTTGTTCAGTTTCCCTTCTCTTCCGCGCATTTCCTCCCTTTTTATTTTATTTTTTCTCATTTTCTTCATCTCCTTCTTTCGCTTCTTCCCTTCTTCCTTCTCATTTCTCTTTTTCTTTCTTTTCTTGTCCTTCTCCACCTTTGAATTCTCTTTGCTGCCTTCGTTTCATTCTTTTTCTTTTGTTTTATCTTGCTGTCGTCTTTCTCTTAATGTTTCTTAATGTTTTTTCTTTTTTCTAATCTTTATTTCATTTTCTGCTCTGTTTTTTCACTTTCTTCTGTTTCTTTTTTCTCAGCCTTTACATTCCGTTTCTCTATATCCTCCTTTTCCTCCTTCCTCTTCTTCACCTCTTATTTTTTTCTTGTCCCTTCTGTTCCATCTCCTCCTACCTTTTTTTCTCATCGTCCGTGTTTTTCTTCGCCTTTTCATTTCTTTTCACCTCTTCACTTCTTCCTATTTTTCCCACTTTCTCTTCTGTCTTTCTTCTCCTTCCCCTTGCACTTTCCATCGGTTTTCTTTTTCTCTTCGTTCAACTTCTTTGTTTCCATACCTTTCTTTTATTTTCCCTCACTTTTTGTTTCTTCTCGATTTCTTCCACTTTTCCTTTCCGTCACTTCAATTTCCATGACTACTTGTCCTTTCGCGTCACGGAGGCAGACGCGTCAGACGGTGTTTCCAGCGTTCCCCGTCCTACCAGCGTTTAAGCTTCGACAGAGGACAATCGGGATCGAGAGAAGGCTCGTTCAATATAACTGCACCTGCGACGAATTATGGCCGTTCGTTGGGTCATCGAATGGGCGGCAGGACAAGTACTAGTCGCTTCGTTTTCCTTTCCGAAATCATTTGCAGGACGTGCTCAAACCATCACAACTGTGATATCTCAATCTGGAGAAGCAAAGACTTCCGGATGTCAGTATTCCGGACTATGTGGAGAAGCGCAAGGCCAGCGACTCGTCTCAAAAAGCCCAGTTCGTCAGCCCGGTTCGAAGCTTTTCGGTTGTGGTCCACGACTCATGACCGTCGGTAAGCATGGGGATAAAGATCGATTGAACACCGAGAGCTTAGTTTTCAGACTCAGCTCTACTGTAGTCACAATGGATCGGGCTAGTTCACGCAGAACAGCATTGACTGCTCCAATTCGCCAAGGATGAATATCATCAATTCAAGCATCCTTTCCACTTCTCAAACATTCGACAGCTTGTGTGGAAATAGTAATATCCGTTACCTAGTAAGTAATGACTTCAGGCGAGCGTTAATGCGGTGGCTCGAGATGAATGAGTTTCTCAAAATGCTCTCTCCATCGCTGAAGGATGTCCTCATCCGCAGTAAGTAGGTGTCCAGTCTTGTTATTCAAGGCTCTTAGACTGCCCTTTTTCACCTCGAAGCTGGCGGATGGTCGCTCGCAATAAGTTATTTGCCTCCTAGAAATTCGATACCGGTGTCTCACCGAACTTCTCTCAGAAATCAGCTTAGCTTTCGCCACTGTTTCGCTTGCACCTTGTGTGAATGTTCGTGCTGCATACGAGTTGAAAACTGTTGGCATCCAAGCTATCACTCGAATGCGGCCTTCTTTTCAGTACTAGTCAGTTGAACTTCTCTTGTACCAGAATGTTCTTTTCTGACCTCCAGGCGGTAGGACAACCAGTTTTAACATGCAGCATTCCGCGGCAGCCCAGAGTTACTTTGCCAACGGCACGGTGGTA